GCGGCGGTTGGTGGGCGGGCCTGGGGGTGGGCGCACGGATAGCTGCGGGGACTAGTGCTGAGGGGGGGGTGGGGGAAGAAAACAAGCATCGGAGGATAATGTCTTGAACAATGATATTGTAGACAGTTCATAATAGTTGAATAGAAGAGGTGCTGACGACGTAATTAAGAAAACATAATGGAAATAAAACAAGAATTCGCAATTAAAACAAAATTGACTGAACAACAGCTACATACCATACCAATACGCACACACGCAAAACCTGAAAAGACAAAAACCAATTTAGACTGTGGCACCCGTGTGGCGGGTGGCGTCATGTCTTATGACCATCTTATGTGCTAGCTATTGTTGGATTCCATTTATGTACTAGTGAGTTATGGTTCTAATTATAAGCTCTGTATCCAAGATTTTTCTAAAAATCAAGATTTGGGACCATAATACATGCCGCTTCTCTGATTGTTGAAGAAACGTGTGGGAATATGCGTTCATTAATGATGAAAAAAAGGGGAGATTGACTATAGTTGGCTGTGTTCAATCACTTGATACGGTGTGAAATTAAAGAGGACGTGAGAAGAACTGATGATGTGGGGTCATCAACAAGATCTTGATGTTTTTTAATCGTCCACTTGGAGTGCGCCACGCAGACCTGAGTGACTGCGCTTGTGACTTGCAATCACAGTCGCACTGCGGAATTGCGGAGATTGTGAAGATTTTGATCTGTTATGAGGAAATAATGATCTGATGATATCATATGATTGGTGGCGATAGAACTCGGCTATACTATCCACCCAATAACAATGGGCTCCTCTCATCTTTCCACTCTTTATCAGCCACTTTTATACTCTTTATTCTCCACCAATTACTTCTCCAATAACTAACCTCTACCAGAATAAATCTAACCGACTTCCGGTAAGTAGCCACCATACACACCCTTTTCAGACATACCTCATCTACCTCACCCTTGTCCTAAACTCACTCCTTCACTCGACAAGATGTCTAATATTACAACCTCCTCCTCACTACTACTACTAAAACAGTGGGATACAATGGAACATCAAACAGCTGGTATGTTCTCATGTGTTTGGAACTTTATTGCTATCAATACAAAACATTTGTGCTCAATAGCTTAATTTATGTCTACTGCCAGATGAATGTCCTCGTAGACCCTCAGCTGACTCCTTTTCAACCGAACCGCACACATCCACGCATACAACCCCGATTTCCACCTCACCGACAACTCCAAGCGAGAGGGAACAACAGATGACCTCTGTACAATCAATAGAAACAACTCCATCACAACCGACAGAAGCGTCTACTGCTGGACAAGAACAACGATCAATAACACAGACAACTTCGACTAATTCATCGCATGCAATGGATATACTTGTAAACACACAGGCAACAACAGACCCCATACATATACAAGTGCAAATACACACGTCTAATATCATACACACTGCTTCTACCACCCCAGTTACTACTCCCACACAACCGACACCAAGTATAACCTTTCCTCAATCATTTGCATCACCGCAAGAAACTTCAATAAGCGCACCCACCACACCCTCCGCCACCAACTCTCCAAAAAAACCAGTAGTAACCAGGCAACCACGCCTGTTGGAATGCTACAACTGTGGAATAACAAATACCCCACTTTGGCGGAGAACACCCGACCGCATGCACTCTTTGTGCAATGCTTGTGGTCTATATTATAAACAATACAACACCCATCGTCCTCTTCACATAATACACAAGACAAAACCTGCTGCACGTTCCTATCCCTATATACTTCCCGCGTCGAAAGAGGCCGCGGCTGCAGCAGCGGCTGCAGCAGTTGCCGTTCAATTAAATACAGCACCAAGTCCGCAACCAACACAGATTCAATCTTCTATACCAGTTGACCCAGTAACAATTGTAACCGAATCGGCAGTTCAATGCATTAACTGTGGACAGACACAGACTCCGCTCTGGCGGAAGAACGAGAAAGGCCAACCATTGTGCAATGCCTGTGGTTTATATGCCAAGATGCATAACAGAGATAGGCCGCTTGCAATGCGCAAATCAAAAATCCAACGACGACGTAGAGATTGGGGTGCCGCATATCCATCAGACGCTAACGGCAATTCATTAATTGAAGCATCAGGTTCTGACGAGTCATTCTCGTCTAGTCCGCAGAGTCCTTCGCTATCACCCATGCAGGGCATAACGTCTTCACCTAATCAACGACCGATAATGCCATTACCGCCTACTACGCACATTGCTCCTGCACTATTAACTTTGGCGACGGCAGCAACGTCTCAGCAGCAACAGCAGCAGCAATTGCAGCTGCAACAGTTGGAACAATTGCAGTTACAAAGAGCGTTACAACAGCAGAATAATAATCAGCAGCAGTCCCCGATAAGTTCTCCTCCTAATACACATGATCCGTATATGCCTCCACCGTTCGATTATTTTGATGAGGCAAAATTCAAACAGCTGGTGGATAGATTATCGCGACGGCAAGTGGAGGAATTTTTAGCTGTAGAAGAGGAAGAGGATGAACCAAGGATTAAAATGGAGTAAATTGTAGAGAAACAAAAAAAATCTTTCAGAAATCAAAAGAACGGGGAAATAATAGAAATAAACAGATCCCCGTAATTATCGTGTTTTGATCATGAACTTTATTAGCTAGTCAATGCTTCTTTTTTTTTATTTACTGCATGTGTACGCGTCCAAAGAGACTTCTTAGACTATATTCAATGTCTTGTTTTTGTATGATATTTCGTTTGTTGTTTTTTTTTTGTGTTTTGATATCTGCATAAATATCGCGTTACTATTCGAATTCTTCTCGTGACAGGATCACTCATAAAATAAACAGATTGCTATATTTATCAATGGACCTTTATAGTATAATCGCATTCTTTAGATTGCGCGTTTTTGTTGCACCATTACCTTTATCATTATTCCTATCCCCAAATCTCCATCGCCCATCTACAGATTATCAAGATGCTATCTTTTCGCTATCCCCGATAGTCACTGGACCGCGAAATCGTCCTATGATCTCTTTTACCTCCCCAGCCGATT